ACCCAAATATAATACTGATGAATTTTTTGTTTGAGTTATAGCTGCTATTAGATTTTCACTAACTTCCTCCTAGATATACAACTCTTGTATCATACCAGTTAGTTATTAAATTTTCATTTTAGGCTACTTTTCTCAATCATTGTCATTCTCACTTTTTTTGTATTTCGTTTCCACAAATATTTTGAGAAACTTTTTTAGAAAAAATAAAGAATAAATATAAATAAAAGCTTATATTACACATTATATATATGTCATGCATATACTATATATGCGAAATATATATTAACAAAGAGATGTAAATTATATGAGTTGTTGTATGCAGGTTAGGATATTTCCCAGCAAAATTTAAGTATCTCTTTAATCATTCCAGGAAATTGATTTATTCTTAGACATTCCTTTCTAATAAACAAGATCACCACATTGTTCATCTGTCAATTCCTTTTGTAGTCACTTTATCTTTACACACAGCCTGTCTCTTCAGAATTCATGGCTTTCTTTTACCAATTGTTCTCCAGCCTATCTTAATTAAGTAGGTTGTTATGTAATGATAGGGACAGTGTTACCATATATGAAAAATTGAGGTTTACACAATTCCATTATCAGGAACAACATTAATGTACTGTACATTGGAGCCACATCCAGAATGTTGCAAGTTCAGGTAGCAGAATATCAAGAGGATGTTGTAAATAATAAACTTACAATTGAGCTTTCAAAAAGAGTATTGGGGCATGGCTACATGTCTCCTTTGGGCTAATACTAGATTACTGAGATGGTGCTATGACAAAAGAATGTTGTTGTTATGGGAAAATCTTGATATTGTGTATCCATAAGTGCGAAATATTGATGGTAGAGATATCTGCAATATCTCTACCATCAATGTTTCGCACTTATCGATAGAATTATTTAAACAATTCACATTGTAGATCAGTGATTTTTCAAGCCACCACCCTCTTAGTTTCATAATGTTATACCCAATGGCCCCTAACCCATTTTTCCTTCTGTGAGAGATTTGAAAATATTCTTAGGAAAACTTCTATGAACCTCACATTTTGTCCTTACAAAACATTGTTCTCAAAATCTGGAAACCATTAAATGCAATGTTTCTTCTTACCCATTTTTAACAGGAAAGGGAAAGGTTGTCAGTGACCTCCAACCTTCACCTAAGGTCACCATTCAGTATCTTACCTCCAGTGCCCCCTACTGCCCACTTGTTTCTTTTTGCCCCCCTAGATTTACCACCCACCCACAGGGGGCAGTAGCATCCACTTTGGAAACCACTGTTGTAAATGCTCTAAAGATCTTTACACTTTGAGATTTATACTTTTGTTGATAGTTTTGCATGCTTCTCATTTTTATTAGACTGTTCTAATTTTTATTGAATATTTGATATTCCAATCTTGTTTTAATTTAAAAAAGAAATGTTACATTTATGTTCTATTCTTATGTTTAAAATGTGTTATAGCCTTCCCATCAGACAAAAATCTATGTTTTTGAAAGTACTCAATTTTTTAATAAATACATGTTTTTAACATTGGTTAGATATGATTTCTCTAACATTCCCAGTGTAAAGTGAAAATTATTTTTGTCAATTATCAGCATGGAAACTGCTAAAAAACACTTCTTTATGTTGTTGAACATTGCAAGGGCCAAAGTTTATTTCCACTCTAAAGAGGAATTTTTCTCAATTAATCCCACCCATTATGGCTGCCATAAAGACTATTCAGTGTGCAAAGCTGCTGTCTAAGTTGGAGCTGTCCCTTTTTTCTAAAATCTTTTCACGGCAGAATTTGCAGATTGTGTCACCGCCAGATACTCAGAATAGCTGCTGTGTTAAACTATTTTTTGCCAATAATCATTTAAGGTTATTAGTTTCAGATAAGGACAAGAAATTTGTTAAAGTTCTGTTCCCAAATGATTTTTAGGATATAAGTCAGTCCTTATGATGATTTTTGAGAATTTTATAAAAACTATTTACCTTAAATGTTTAACTTTAAATGAATTTTAGTATTAATTTTGTACATTAAAAGTACATTTTGGAATGATGATTTTCAGTTGAAAGCCAAACATTAATTTGGTATGTTATACCATTTTCTAAGTTATTTAACACTTTTAACAGTGGTGTTTTTTAAAAAAGGGGGTTCTAATGCTTTTCACCAAGTTAATGAGCTGTCCTCAGGCATAAACAGTTTAAAAATGAGTGGATGAAGGGATGGTCTTTGATAAATTAAGGACTCTAATAAATTCTATAAAATGTTTCTATTATTATTAATCATATATATATGAAGTATAGTAGAGCATCGATTATCTGACCCCCGATTAACCGTCACATCGGTTAACTGACCGTTCTAGTCGGCAAATTTCAAATGTCTGCTAGTGATGTGGCACTACAATATTTGGCTATGTCTTGGATACTTTAATATTATTTTTGTTAAATTTTTGCATGTTTTAGCTGGTATCAACGGCTCAACCATTGAAGGGATGCCAGTATTTAAACGAGACTTAATTTTCTAATTATGAGTGGTTATTTGTTTTGTGAGCAATAAAATAATTCAAAGATAATTTTTAACGATACAATAGCGACAATTATTATTTTAAAAAAATTTTGTTAGGCTTAACATTGATGAAAATTCAACGCAAAGTAGGTTAACAGCGATATACTAATTATATGGGATATACTAATATACTATTCTAATAATGTATTTTTTTCATTCTTTTCGGTTATCTGATTTTTTCAGTTATCTGACCAACCCGAGTCCCCAATTGAGTCAGATAATTGATGCTCTACTGTATTTACAAAATATAAAACATTACAAAACTTTCACCCAAAGATCTTTTCCAAAAGAAAGAACAAAAATTAGTAATATAAATAAAACATGTTCAAATTAAAAAGTGAAGCAAACTTTTAAAGTTCATTTTGCCCATTTGAAATATGTTAGTGCAAAGAATCCAAGTTATCATTAATTAATTTTGATCTTAATTTAGTGCAGATTTGTCTATCAAAGATTAAATTAGAGAGGTTGTGGCCAACGTTTTCATAGCGAAAAAGTGTACGTTGGTACGTGGTTCAACGCCACTTTCCTGTAAGCCTAGAAGTTTAACAATGGCATTTGGAATGTCAGTGGAATCATGCTCGATGTTCCAAACACCATTGTCAAACTTCTAGGCTTACATGATGGCGGTGCTGAACATCCGACGTTCACATTTTCGCAATGAAAACATCGGCCGCAACCTCTATTTTTTCTTGTTCAGCACTTGTCATATATTTATATAGAAGTTTTACAGAAGTTATTCTGACTTGATAGTGTGTTAATTTCTTTTCATATGATTTTGTAATATCTCTTGTATATTTCTGATTTATTGAAGTTTGTTATCTAATTATTTGATAGTCTTTATTTCATTGTTAGAGCAGACATATCTGTAGATAAATTGTTAATACTTTTGTTTTCATTGAAACTTGTCTTTGTAATTTCATTATTTATGCATTCATTCATTTTTCCAATATTTCTATTACTAATATAAATGCTTTTGATAATTTATTGAACAGATTGTACTCCTGTTCATGGATTTTATCTTGATTATAAAGTAATTACAAAACATTGGAATAGTTGGTTCTTCTTTTCTGTATTCATTTAATTCTTTTAGTTCTTTACTTAACATACTTTTATTCTAAAGAGTATAAACATACATAGGAATGCACAATGAACAACTTGGCACAGCATGACCCATGAGGTCCTTGTGCCATTAACAGCCCAGAAGATTGCTATGTCTGACAGCTTGCAATTTCTTATATGGCTGTTTGAAGAATAAAATGTTCAGTGATCAGTCCCACAAGACATTGAGGAGATCAACAAAAAATTTGTAATGAAGTTGCTAGGATCTATATGGACATATTATCCCATATAATGAGCAACATAAACTCTAGACTTAAGAATGCAACAAAATGGAATCCATCTATGGGATGCCATGTTGAAAAGCTAAAGATTGTTATGAGATGTTTTTTAGTTTTAAAGTGTGAGTAAGTAAGGTTTGTATGGGTAAGCCCATTTTATTGGCTTACCCCACACAAACTTATGTAGGGATAGGGGGAATTCAAATTTTATTTTCTCAGTGAGTTGTATCTGCACTTTTAAACTAATCTTAAACGATACAGTAGAGCCTTGAAAACTCGGCCTAATGTGGACCGAAGAGTGGCCAAGTTTGTGAAAATGCCGGGTTATCGGGAATGGGGTTAAAAAAGGATAAGTATGCGTGTTTCCTCAGAAAATATTGTACTGTACTTGTATGTATTGTTTGCTTGAGAATACAACAGAGAATAAACTGCCCAAATACCCTTAAACAAAGGAAAAGTACGACCTTTATGAAGGCATAGAGCCTTTACTACATGAAAATGAAAATTAATGAATACACTGTGTACAGTAATTTACTTGATAAGAGAGACCTCAGAAAAATACTTTGAGACATACAGCTGTCTATAATGAAAATTAATTAACTAAGGATTTTTCTGCCCTGCCAGGGTGTGGCCGAGTTATCCGGAGTGCCGAGTTTTCAAGGTTCTACTGTATTAAAATAATATATTTTTTTGTAAATTTAGTCTTTATTTATGTTTTATCTATTACGTGAATTAGTTTTAAATGAAAACATTCAATTGCACCTGTTTTTATCATCAGTTTATTGCAAAATGAATATTTAAATAGTTAATAAAAAAACTGAAACAATGGATTGCCAATTAGTTATTTTTAGGCAAGAATTGTGGATTTGAATTACATCCCAGTTTATTTTCAAACTAATAATTAGTAAATTGGAAATAAATGTCCATATTTCAATTAATTGAAATTTGGTTCAATTTTAAACTATCATCTGGAGATTGTCTGAAAATAATGTTTGATAGTTGAACATGCAAATTAAAATGTGTGTTGCATTTATATGTACTCATTATGCTTCTGTAAATAGGTAATGATAATTTATTATGTTATAATTCACAGATAATTTTTATATTTTAGGTTTGTGATGTCACGTGTGTTAAAGTCTTTATTTTATTTGGTGCTCACTGGAGGAACAGGCTACACACTATTCAAGATATGTACTCCAAGTAGTAAGGAAATGAGAGAGGTTAACTATTTTGAAGATTTTTAATACATGTTTGTCTTATAATAATTAATTAAAGTAAGTTTTTCTTCTAAAATATAATTCAGTTGTTATAAATTTAATTTTCCTTAAAAATGTTTTTTCAGAAATTTCCTGAGGCAAATGTAGTTTATTATGATGCAGCAAAGTCTAGATCTAAAGATTATATGTCAGTTTTGAAAAAAGCAGCCGAAAGTGATAAACCACTTTATAGAGAAAACGATCTAAAAAAGTTCATAAGTGATATTCAAAAAGAAAAATAATATATTTTTGTTATGGAATCATCAGATTTAAATATATATGAAATGAGGAAAGAACAGATTGCAGAAAGACTTCAAAAACGAGAAGAAGCTAGATTGGCCGAATTAGAAAGAAAGAAAGCTAATGAAGAGAAAGTGATTCAAGAACAGACTGCTTATTTTAGTAATGCATTTGCAAAAGCTAAACAAGATATAGAAGAAAAATTATCTGAAGTAGGAACAGTAGAAAAGTGTACTTTAAGAAGTTATTTTGATAGTATTGCTAAGGATTTTCAAATTCTACAAAAGTTTGTGGCAGATTCGACTTTTTTTCTTCCTTCTTACGATATCAGGATTGCTCATGAAAATCTGAAATCATTACAAGAAGTCATCCAAATTGCACAAGATAAATATTTACCCAAAAAAAAGTTTGCTTTTAAATCAAAGAAAAAATATTTGGATAAAGAAAAAGATTGTACTGATTGTGCTAAATCAAAAAAAGAATTGGCAGCAGTCAACGTAGATACATGTCTCTATGGATTTAGGGATCTAATTAATGAAAAAGTGACAAAAGAACCTGAAGAAATAAATGGAAAAGATATTGAACTCTATCACTTAGAAAATTGCATGGTCAAAATATTTGGATTGCCTAACACAGTACATATTAATGGAATAGTAAACTGCACCATTCTGATGGGACCTGTGTCAACATCTGTTTTTATAGAAAATTGCACAGATTGCACCTTTGTTATGGCTTGTCAGCAAGCTCGAATTCATTCTACAATTAATTCCCACTTTTACGTACATGTAACAACAAGAGCCATTATTGAGGATTGTAAAAATTTGAAATTTGCTCCATACAACTGGCACTATCCAAATATAGAACAACATTTTGATTTAGCAGGCTTGGATCAGGATTTAAATAATTGGAATAACATAGATGACTTTAATTGGCTTGTTGCTGGTTTATCTTCACCTAATTGGTCAGAATTACCAGAAGATGAAAGAGTAGTTTGGAAATAAAAATTTGTAAAAAATATTTTCGCATTATATTTTATTCATTAGTCAATGTAAATTTCAAATTATTGTTAATAAATATAGTATTTAAGAATAAAACTTTAAATTGGCACTTAAAAAAATATTCTTTTATTTCAGAGATGATGATACAAAACTAATCTTTTTTGGAATGAATATGGCATAATTTGTACTGGAAATTATCAATCAATTCTTTGTCTTTTTTATAATTTGGTTCCCTAGAATAGAAAAAATAATAATAAAAAATGCATACAACAGTAAATTTACCAAAACAAAATAATTACCAATTTCTTTTCTAAAGCTTTCTTTCCAGCTTCTACAGTATTTTTGATTAACATTGCAACTGTCATAGGACCAACTCCACCTGGTACTGGTGTAATGTAGGATGCTATGGATTTTGCTTCTTCAAAATCAACATCTCCCACCAATCTGGAGCCAGATGCCTTGGTTGCATCTATATTTAAATGAAGACTTTTAACAATCTTTAAAAATAATTTTGACAAATATTTTCACAATTTTTAACCTGGTATTGAATTTATGCCGCAGTCAATGACAACTGCTCCTGGCTTAATCCAGTCACCTTTCACCATTTGTGCTCTTCCAATAGCAACAACAAGGATATCTGCCTCCCTTACCTTGAAAGAAAATTAAATTACAATAATTTCATGAAAACTCTGCAATTGTAAATTAAGTTTGTCAGTAAACCTACCACAGAAGGTAAGTCTTTAGTGCGTGAATGACAAATAGTAACAGTAGCATGATTCCAAATTAGAAGTTGTGCCATAGGCATTCCAACAATTTTGCTCCTTCCTAAGACAACAGCACGACTTCCTTTAATTTCCACACCTAAAAATATATTGATAATTTTTGTTAAAAGAAATAATACACTATTACATATGCAAAACAGTTCTGAATAGTTGAGCTAACAAAAGATAGTTTAGGCTATTTCTGGAATGCTGACTCCAAGTATAAGAAAAACATGCCAAATTTTTTCATTAGACATTTTTATATATTCTTACATTAATAAACTGTATAAATTCTTATAAAATTCATTTCCAAAATGTTAAAAGAAACTTTTATTTCAGAAAGTTTTCCAGAGTTTTAAAAACTATTAAACACAGCTTTTAGAAAGGACAAGAAAGTTGGATAAAGGATTCTATTTTATATTAATTTTTCATAGGATAAAGCTTTCTTTTGGTCAATTTTGTGATTTTCTATAGCTATTCTCTCAAAGAAAGAAAACATCTGTGCGTAGTAACAAATTTAATTAATGGAAATATTGTAAATACAGTGGGTGATCAGTTAACGAACATAATCCATTTCAAGACTTTGTTTGCTATCCAAATTGTTTAACTGATTGATTTACCATAGGTTTTTATGGGAATTTGATTATTTATTTTTTGGGATCTCCATTACGAATTAAATGTAGTAAGAAAGTATATGTTTTTTATTTATATGTGATAATAAAAATACATATATACACAATCGTGTTTTTATTAGTCATGTTTTTCCCGTTTGTGGTTGTTAAAGAATCTGTCTAATGCTGACTGCTTTTCTCTCCTTCAGAATTTTTCAGAAGTAATTAATAGCATTGTAATTGTAGAGATCGTAAACCTATTAACCTCAACTTGGTTTGGATACAATTCGAAGACCATTGTTCAGACATCCTCCCACTTCTTCAAAAGATGTTTAACAGGCACTTCTTCAAAAGATGTTTAACAGGAGATATTGACATTAATCTTCTTTTTCAGAAGAAAACATATCTTGCTGAGTTTCTTGGTGTTCTTCTGTTATCAGATCAGTTCCATTATGAGCTCTTCAATGTTCTTTACTTCTCAGATGTGATTTTTGTTACTTCTTTAGCTGCTTGAGTCTTCTTGATTACTGTATCTTTCTTAGATAATATTGAACTGCAGCCTACTGTAGACCTGTTCAAGCCACACTACCCACTCTCTACCTTTGCTATTATACTCTCACCTTTCGAAAATATAGTATTCACAAGAGTGGGTTTTTAAAATAATCCTTTTTGTCAGAAAAATAAAAAGCTGGAATTACAAGGGAGAGTTTCAAAATTCGGAGGAATACTATCCAATCAGTATATACCGGATTGAGCGTCGATGTTGAAGTCTCCCATGTTCCAAAAAGTTTTGAATTGTTGCCTGAAGACATGGGAACACCAATCAATATTCATTATTTTACGTTGCTGCTTCTTGTGTTTGTTATCCGAACATAAAAATCTTTTGCAAAAGTGTTCTTTATCCAATCACCCACTGTGTATAAATGTGCCACGTTAGGCATTTTTATTCTATGGAACTGGACAGCTTAAACTCATCTACAGTTGATGTAGGAAGTGTGTTTTAGCAGGAAAAATAATTTTTTGGGATGACAGATTAACTGTCTACCTCAAGATCATTTGGCTTAATTTTTTCATAAGTGACATATTGTTTAATATTTTGATGTTTTGTAAAATGGCTGTGCACAGAAAGTTATTTATTAAATGTAGTTTCATTGACTGATAATCCAGAAATACATAGTTCTGATGCTGAAACCAAAGAAAATACATTGACAGAGCCTGAATCAGATTTAAACACTATATTTTTTTAGTCTCAAAAAAATTTATTTTTTCTGTTTGATTTAATGATTTGTTAAATCTTTAATGTACAGTGTTAACAAATAAACGAACAAATTCTAAAACATGACAAATATTTTTGGGCGGTTTTTTAAAAATAAATCTTCACAGATCTTCCAGTCTGGAAAGTGTTAAAGCCTATATCTGAAATTGGTGCACCCAAAACCAATAAAATACAGATTACTTGTGTTATAACTAATTACAAGATTTTAGTATCAATTAGTGATCACACATGAAATAAATTAAAATATATAATCAGCAAAAAATCCATTATACAATTACAGTAGAGCATTGATTATCCGACTCAATTGGGGACTCGGGTTGGTCGGATAACCGAAAATGAAAAAAATGCATTATTAGTATAGTATATTAGTATATTGCTATTAACCAACTTTGCGTTGAATTTTCATCAATGTTTAGCCGAACAAATTTTTTTAAAATAATAATCGTCGCTATTGTATCGTTAAAAATTATTTTTAAATTATTTTATTGCTCACAAAACAAACAACCACTCATAATTAGAAAATTAAGTCTCGTTTAAATAATGTTCTCCCTTCAATGGTTGAGCCGATGTTGCCAGCTAAAACACGCAAAAATTTAACAAAAATAATATTAAAGTATCCAAGACATAGCCAAATATTGTAGTGCCACATCACTAGCAGACATTTGAAATTTGCCGACTAGAACGGTCGGTTAACCGATGTGACGGTTAATCGGGGGTCGGATAATCGATGTACGACTGTAGGGTGAATGTAATTATTCTTTATACTCTTTTAAGAATTAGGTATAGAAAAACATTAGATCATCACAAAAGTTCTGTTAATTATTTTTAGATATTGTTTTTGCAAAATGTTGACTACTAAAGACAATTTGTGAATCAATAAAATTTCACAAAAATTTTTCAATTTGAATATTAAAATATATAAAATAATTGATGTCCAGTTTTTGTCAGCATATTTTGGTAAAGTGAACCTTGCATACTATTTTAAATTCAGCTCTGAACATTTATGTAGATTTCAAAAGTTTGAAAGATTGCAAATTAATAGTTTGAGAAACAGGATCCTTTCTTTAGATACTTTCTCTTTGATTCCCTATTACACACATCAACATTATGGATAATGTTCAATGAGAAGTTTGCTTTAAACCAGTGGCTTCTGAAATGGGCACTACTGCCCCCATGGGTGGCAGGGAGTGCTGGAAGCAGGGTACTGAACAGTAACCATAGGGTTAGACTCACTGACAACCTTTCCCTTTCCTCTTAAAATGGATAAGAAGAAACATTGTGTTTAATGGTTTCCAGACATGGAGAACAATGTAAGGTAAACATACAAAGTGATGTTTTTAGAAAAGTTTTCCTAAGAATATTTGCAAGCCTTTCTCAAAAGGAAAAATGGGTTAGGGGTGTTGGCTCAAAAAAATTTGGGAATCACTGCTTTAAATATTTTAAAGATTGAAATTTTTATTGTCCATGTAGATAAGTATACAACCCCAAAAGTATGGCATATTGTTCACTTTGCAGTATGTCATTCAATTCAGCTTAAAAGTTGCAAATAAATTTTGTTAAAAAGAATAAATAATAACTGTGCAAGTAACAACAGAAAAGAGATGAAAGCAATTATATAAAAAATTAAGAAACAGTACACTCAACATTCTGTAATTACTATATTCCATACTTTTGCATAGAGATAAGTATGGAATAAAGTAAATTAATACTGCATGGGACTGCCTTTGGCCTTTACTATTACTATAACACATCTTGGTATTGGAGCAACTAACTTTTCACATAAGTCTGCAGATATTTCTGCTCAGCTGGTTAGAGTAGCACTCTTCGAATCCCCCGTTTTTTTAAACTAGTTTCTTGAAACATTCCACAAATTCTGTATTGGATTTAAATCTGGGCTGTTTGGTGGCCAATCTAAATGTGAAATGTTATTGTTTAGGAACTATTGGCATACTGTTTTAGCATGGTAGGAAGATGCATTGTTGTCTTGGTAGATACAGTCACTCTGCTATTTTTCATACAAAATTGTCTATACAGTCGACCCCCCTATAACACTGTTGATTATTCCATTTTATATGAATTCCATGTTGTTTGAGTCACTTAGATTTTACAAATACGTGAACCGTTCACAGCCCGGCACACGTATTTGTAAAATCTAAGTGACTCGTACAACATGGAATTCATATAAAACGGAATAATCAACAGTGTTATGGGGGGGGTCGACTGTAGTCTATTTATTGTAACTTGGCACCTACTGTAAACAAAGGTTTTGTCGTATTAATCTGCCGGAGATTTTCAATGGTCAAATTGCAATTGGAAGTGGCTAGACACGTGTTGACCAGTTAAGCCCCTTTCCCTGCATGTGTTAAAGTAGGTCAGAGTGGTCACAATTCAAAAATTACCGAGATAATACTTAGAAAACTTATTATAGCCTACTTTAACATTTTTACGTAGTCATTTAAATATAGTTTGTCAAAAGTTATTATTAAATATATATTATTAAGACTTACACAAAACATTTATAATTGTGTAGTTGAACATACTTCAGAATTTTTATCTACAAAACTATTTTAATAAATAGATATAAAACAAAAAACCAAATTATCTGGCAATCCTTAAAAATCATACTCAAACCTCTAAAGGAAAATGTTATGGTAATGTGTGAATTTATCTATGTGATATTTATATAATTACAGTGTAAACTTGCCTTATTAATCATCTGTATCAGAAGATAGTTGCTCAAATTAATCATTTATATGGCTTTTGTCACTACTTGTGTTCGACTGAATAATCAGTTTTTCTACAACAGTTTCTGACATCTTTCCCACATTCGTTGTTCTTTTTCTATATGTTCGATACATTTTCTCCATCTTCAGTTATTTGTTCGACAACACACAGTTCGAAATAATTATAGTTATTGTAATGAATGGAAAACGAAACAAAGACATTATAGTGTGCATGACCAAAAAAGTTTATTTTTAGTGATTCAGAATGTGCAAATATTCATTAAAATAACAATTTAACAAGTATGAAATAATTACATTTATAATCATTGCTAAGTGACTAGTATTTCATTAATGATTTTATAAATAACGAATAACTATTTTCTGCAGACGAATGAGATGCAACGTGATTTCTAATTGATGGATGTGGGTTTAACCACATCCATCAATTAGAAATCACGTTGCATCTCATTCAATTAGCCAATAAACAAAG